GAAGGAACACGTTTGCCTACCCAAAGAGTTAAAATATGGTTCAAAGGTCTTAACCTACCACAAACTGTCAAAATCTATGAATTTCACAGAAAAGAGGTCAAGCATTTCATCCAATTTGGTAGATGCTATAGATGCTATAGACATGAACATACGGCGGAACACTGCAAACAAAAAATAGAGTCATGTAAACGTTGTTTTTCTCCTCATGAGAAAAATGAGCCTTGTGCTGAAAAAATAATCTGTATCAATTGTAAAGGTGATCACAGCCCATTGGAAAGAGGCTGTCCTGCCAGGCAAAGAGCGTACGAAACCAAAAGAATCATGACAATAGAAAACTTGTCCAAAAAAGAAGCTAGAGAGAGATATGCAGGTCATTTTAACTCATATAGCATACTCGATGAGGACATCGACAAAAATTTCCCAACACTAGAAAGGTCCAACAAAAATTCTAAACACCCCAGTGGCAACAACAACACCATTAATAATTACACTGAATCAGCTAACTTCATTCATGCTAGATCATCATATGCAAGAGTAGCGAAAGTTAACAAGAATAGAATTAGAGAGCAGGAAAATGCTAGAAAAAATATGAGGGAGTACAAGGATGCTTTGGAGGAAGGGGAAATTTACTCCTCCCCCAATGGGTCACAAATACGTAAAACCCAAGAAATTCTAGACACTGTGCTAAACAACATCAATGAACTAACATCCGAAAAAATAGGTAAGTTAAACGAAGCACAATCAATAACACTTAAAAATATTAAAGATAAAATCTTAAACGAAATACTTAACATTGATGTACTTTTGGTTAATCCTAACAGGAAACCTAAAGAAACTACCAGTATTATCCAGGAGATTATCTCCTCCAATTCCAAATAATCTATTATGACGCTTAAAATACTGCAGTATAACATACAAAGTATAAACAAAATTGAAAATAAAAACATCCTTGAACTCTTTCTTGAGAAAGAAAAAATTGACATAGCTCTTCTAACCGAAACTTGGGTCAGAGATGAAACAAGTACCAATCTTTGCAACTACAATTTTTATGGAAAAAAAAGAGACGATGGCTACGGTGGTGTGGGCATCTATATCAAGCGCAAATTTAAATACTCACTCATTAATTTTGATAATGAACATGAGGTAATTGGAATCTCTATAATGAATATCAAAAATCCTTTCAATATTGTAGTTGTTTATATACCTCCTAATACTAATAGATCTAATTATATAGACATAATTACAGATGTCTTTCAGAAAATCAACTGTCTTAAACATCCTACCTTACTTGTGGGTGACTTCAACGCTAAATCCATTTCTTGGGGAAATACCCACACCGATCCCTTAGGGGATGTGCTTGCCAGGTTCGCGGATATTAACAACTTCTCATGTCTCAATACTGGAGAGCCCACTTTTGTTTTAAATAATACACGTTCAGCCATTGATATCGCTTTTTCCAACAGTACTTTCTTCAACTTTTCTTGGTCAGTCAGACAGAACAAAATTACAAATAGTAATCATCTACCTATCATTATTGAAACTTGCAACAAAGTAGCCATTAAAAATAGTAAAATACTGCATAAAGATAACCTCTACAATGATATTAAAGGTATTATTGTTGAGGACAACTTACAACAAACTAATATCAAAATAAACCAAGCCATAACCCGGAATACAATTGTGGTGGATTCGAATAACAAATATGTTCCCAAACCGTGGTGGAACGCCCAGGTGAATGATCTATATAATGAAAGAGCTGCACTCAGAGAAATCTATCAAAAAACCAACTTATTCACAGATGCCTGTAATTTAGCGAGAATAGAAAGGAAACTCTACAATCTTATAGCCAAATTAAAAAAGAAAAATCTTAAAAAGTTACAAAGCGACATATCTGGAAATGTTCCCATCAAAGAAGTATGGTCTAAAATGAAGAATGTCAAAAAATATCAGAAAATCAAGTCACCCAACAATACCTGGAGTGATGAACAGAACGAAAACTTTTTAAAACACATAACTAGTTCTTCACGTATCTGTTCCAAACCAACTTCTGTTGTTTTTGGTAATATTGGCACAAATAAACCGGGACTTCAAATAAGTGACATGGAAAGTTTTCTTGTCAAAAGGAACATAAATTCAGCTCCTGGACCAGATCGAATTTCATACAACATCATTAACAATCTGGATGCTTCTGAAAAAAATAAATATCTCAATGTGCTGTTGCAACCATGGAAAGATGGCTCATTTCCGAGTGAGTGGCGCAATATTAAAATAGCCCCTATACCCAAACGAAACAAAGATTTATCCGACGTTAAAAATTATAGACCGATTGCTCTCATGTGTGCCCCACAAAAAATACTTGAAGCTGCGATCAAACCTTTAATATTAGAACACATAGAGACTAAGAAAATAGTTCCAAAAAGTTCTTATGCCTTCTCCTTGGGTAAATCCACCACAAATTGTATAAATGACCTAGTTAACACCATTGAAATTCATAAGAAAAACAAAAATACTGTTGTTGGTGCCTGCATTGACATCGAGAAAGCTTTTGATAACACCGATATTGGTAAACTAGCATTAATCCTTTTTAAATCAGGACTCAACACCCATATCATAAAATGGATCTATGATGGCATGTCACAGAGAATATTACTATTGGGTAACAAATCCATATCAGTCTGCAATGGAATTCCTCAAGGCAGCGGTTTGAGTCCCATACTTTTCAACATCTACACGGCTTCGCTACACCAAATAATTGACGATAGCTGCAATCTATTTCAGTTTGCTGATGATTTCTTCATCATCTGCCATGACAAAAACATCAACAACGCCAAAACTACGCTGCAAAGCAAGATAAATGATTTTCAAGAATTATGCGATAAATTATCCTTACACTTCAACATGGAAAAAATTAATACTGTCCACTTTAGCAGGAAACCTCAACAACTAGGTATCATCATTAACAACATCAGACTAAATCAAACAAATTCAATCAAATATCTTGGGGTAACCATTACATCTAGTGGTTCAGCTAAAGTACACATGAATGAATCAACATCGGCTGTCAAATCTAGTTGCAAGTTCTTAAAAATTTTGAGTGGTTGCAAATTTGGTATCAATCCATCTAGAGCGTTGCATTTTTACAAAGCATTTGTCAGATCCAAAATCGAATATGGCGCATCATCCTTATCAAATTTAACAAAAGAATCCGAAAATAGACTCAAAACATGCATTCAAGAAAGTCTCAGAAAAGCCCTTGGACTCATAAGATCAACTCCTACCGCTATTATCTACAATTTATCATGTGAACTACCTCCTAGCTACAGATTTCAACTTGCTACTGCCAAGGAGCTTGCTAAATGCGTTGCTTTTAACCTTCCTGGTGCTGAAATCATAAGAAATAATACAAGCATAAATACCAGCTATGCCAAGGTATGGTCAAAATTTGAAAATATATTATCAGATATTGCTAGTACTAAAGTCCAGGGTTCAAATTCTTTGATAATTAAAGTTGACACTTTCTTTTTCAAGGGAACCAACTTTAAAAAAGCGGAAGCCAATCACGAAATAATTACTGCAATTGCCACTGAAAAAATTAATAATCTTAGGAATGCCGGATATGAGATTTTCTCCACTGACGGTTCAGTCAACAACAATGCCATTGGGGCTGCTTTCTACCATCTTAATACAAATACTACAATGTCCTTTTGCGCCTCAAAAAAACTATCTTCAATGTCAGCCGAAGTTCTAGCTTTTCTCAAAACAGCTGAGTATGCAGAAAACAATGAAATTCAAAAATTTGCCATTCTTACTGACAGCTTAAGTGGTATTCAGGCCATCAGCAACCAAAAACATAGAAATTATTTGATTGATGCTTTTATAAACAAGATTAATAGTTTTGCCACTGACGTACAAATTCACTACATTCCTGGTCACTCCAACATTCCCATTAATGAAATCGTTGATATAGCTGCAAAAAACGCAATCCAGAATGGAACTAGTCTTGAAATTCCATGGCCCCTAGCGGATGCCATTAATCAAATATCGAATATACTCTGGGACGAATGGAGCAGCGAATATCATTTAATAGCTCAAAACGGTAATTCTCATTTTTATAAAATCTTTCCTTCTTTATCCAGAACACCTTGGTTTAAAAATTGTAAATTTAATTCCTTTTCTCAAAAACAGATAAATCGTGTACTTAGCGGCCATTGTTTTTGCAAGAATACACTAGCCAAAATGAATGTTGTTACATCTAAATTATGCCATGATTGCGGGGTTGATGAAACTGCTTCCCACATTATTTTTGAATGCAGTAAGTATAATACCAAACGGAGATGTTTCCTAACACTATGCGATTTCTTCACTGTTGAAGACTTCGTAAATTCACAAGGCTTAGAGCGTCTGAACATAGTAGCTAAATTCCTCAAAGAAGCTGAAATCGACATTTAAAATATTGCCAACACTGAACATGCCATTAAATCGTAGCAAAGCTACATACGGATACATGGCACTAAACCTTCTATCCCTATAGAAAGTGGGCCAACCAAAATAATACATAAAAAAAAAAAAAAAAAAAAAAAAAAATGAAGTGAAAAAAGGCAAAATTAAACAAATAAATTTAATAAATTAAAAAATATATCTAAATTTGCCGAATTGTAATATTTTGTTTACAATTAGTTTCACTCGCGAATGTATAATAAAATTTGTTTTCGCGGATTAGTGTGGTGCTATAAATATATAAAATAACAACAAGTGAAATGGCTGACAAAGCAAAAGCGGAATAAGAAAAGGCAAACTTAATTTATATGTAATAATTAAGTTTGTGTTATCTTGCCGCGAAATCAAGCCAAAACGATTCACAAAATATATATAAATTGATATATCAAGCGTATATGGATAATTTGTGTGAATTTTGATAAAATAAAATTTGTTTAACAAATTCTCTAACACTGAGTAATTTACAGGTTAGGATTCACAAAAATTATGTCCAACGCTGTTACCTGTGAATCAGAATCACTCTCCTGATTGTTGTGTTTGCTCCTGCATAGACGGCAATCGCAGCGACGGGGCATCTGGATTTGATGACAGCAGCAGATCTTTTGATGGGGAGTGTTTATTTTATTTATTTAATTTAATTGTTTTTTAATATTGTCTTCTTCTTCCTTGTAGTATTTTAACAAGGCTGTTTTGCACAAAATTAACAAAACACACCGACACTTTATATTCCCGGGTTTCGGCACCAAAATGTTACCCTTTATTTTAAGGGTATTATATTTTTTTTAATTATAAAATTAATTTATTTATAATTTCTAAATATTATTTTTTATGGACGGCGAGAAGAAAGACGCGTATCGTTGGCGGTATAATTCACAACAATGACTTTATTATTATTCTTTCTCATTATCCTATTCTTCTACATCTAACTTAATTGTAAATTTACATACTATTTAACTACTAATTTTTACAACTAAGGAATTCATATTATTAATTAATTTAAATTCAAAAATAAATAGAATAAAAAACCATAAAAAAAAAACAAATAAATTGAAATAAAAATTACAATTAACAAAATTCAATTTGAATCAATAAAACTGCTCCAACAGCCGTCTTATAACGGTACTTCCCGATATTCAGTACTTTGATGATTTTTGCCACATTTATCCACGGATTTGTCTAAAAATTGGCATTTGTAGTTCGCAATGGGTTCTAGCTCCTGTGGTTTTTGTATAGGCCTCAAATAAAAGTACCTTCCGTTATTCGGTATTTTCATGATTTTTGCCAAAATTTTCCACGGATTTGTGTAAAAATTGGTATTTGTAGTTCGTAATGGGTTCTGGGTTTGGTAGCGGAACAGAGTATATATAGGTCCACGTTTTGGCATATCCCCTATATAACGGCACCTTCCGATATTCGGTGTTTTTATGATTTTTTCCACATTTATTCGCGGATTTTTCTAAAAATTGTTATCTTTAGTTCACAATAGGTTCTAGCGCCGGGAGCAGAACATAGTATATATAGGTCCACGTTTTTGTATAGCTCCCATATAACGGTACCTCCCGTTTTTCGGTATTTTGATAATTTTTGCCACATTTTTTTGGTATTTGTAGGTCATAGTGGGTTCTAGCTCCTGTGGTAGAACATAGTATATGTAGGTCATGTTTTAGTATAGGTCCAATATAACGGTATCTCCTTATTTTCGGTGTTTTGATGATCTTTGCCACATTTTTCAACGGATTTGTCTAAAACTTGATATATGTAGGTCATAATGGGTTCTAGCTCCGGCGGCAGAACATTGCGCATATAACGATACTCAGCGATATTCGATATTTTGATAATCCTATTCACATTTACCCACGAAATTGTTTCAAATTTGGTATTTAAGATGATTTGGTAAATGACAATCTTTGAAGTATAAAATCGTCCATGGATGTTCCCGTTTTGGTATGGCTCCCATACAATGACCTCAACTACTTTATGGGTTTTTGTAATGTTTAACATCATTATCCAAACGGTTTTACTGGTATTTGTAGTTTAAAGTGGAACACGTTTTTATTGAAAATGTTTTATTTTAAAGTGTTTTCTTTACCCAAAGGTTGATTAAAAGGTAGGAGGTATAAAAAGTTCAGCCCGGCTGAAATTAATATTTTTTACTTGTTTTTGTTAATTTTTGTTTGTTGTTGAATCTAAATTAAGATTTAATTTAGTAACTATCTTATAAGTAAAAAATTAATATTAATAAATAATTTCATTTGGTTTCATTTCAGGTGGCATCCATAGGCGACCTGTAAATCCCCCCTTGTTCAGCTGAGTAGTAATTCGGCATCCTTATTACTTACATATTATATATATTTACCCTTTACATCAAATATTATCAATGCATTTCATTTGAAATACTTTATACATATTTTTTTCATATCTCCAAACAAAAGTTACCTGTATTATTTTTCTTTTATTTCAAATGTTATTATATTCATTATTTTGAATATCGATTTGAATGTTAACTACAACTACAGCATACCAATCAGGTCAAGTGATATTATAAATTTTAAGTCTGTGTGTGTTTTTTTTAAATTTAATACAATAATTTAGTCATCCATTCGTTAGTAAGCAGAGATTAGCGCTGCAGTTCCGGTGTGTCCCAAAATCCGAATGGATGCCTTTACATGGTTTTGCATATATTTTTGGTTTTTATTTTTCATAATTTTCGGACCAATGGTATTTTTCATATGCATCCATTTGCCAGAGATGTCTGTGCAATATATTAAGAAATTGCGTTTTTAGTTTTAAGATTTTTTTTTGTATTCTTTCTTTTTAGATATAAATAAATAAAATGTATAAAAGTTTTATGAAAATATTAAAAAAAAAAAGAAATTGTGTTTTTTAATAAACAATCGAATGACCAATTTTAATATTAGAAAAAAAAACTTGGAGATTTTAACACTCAATTTTTATTTTTAAAAATCAAAAATTATAAAAATTTTTGAAACACAAAATGGAAGAACAAACATCCCTAGAAGAATTTTCCATACCAATACATGTAAATACCTTCGCATTTCCGAATGAACCCGATTTGCGTTTGGTTCACGAACTCTACCGACCATCGGAGAATGTCAAAAAGTTGGAACGTCGACGAACAATTTTTCCCGAGTTATTTATAGAGAACTACAACTTGGGGACATTGGCAGATCTCTCAGTTCGTTGTTTGGCCCGGGCATTCGGTCCTGATCCCTTGCCCATCATAGCTGATGATCCTTTAAAATTAAGGGTACATTATGATTCCTTGGATATTGATATGCCCTTAAAACAATGCTGCCACATAACCTCAGAACGATTTTGGAAGAGATTGGTGCTAAATAAACATCATGACAAAAGTTTGGCCCTTCAATCGAATATAAATTGGAAGAATTTGGGAATTTCTTTGAAACTAGTGGAAATGGCGGAGGCTTGTCCAGCCGAATATTGGCCTGCGGAGGAAATGTCAGAATTGTTGCAAGAGATACAGGAATTTGTTCTTGAGTTGCATATCAAACGTTTGCAGTCGCTGATGGAAAGATCCTTTGAGAAATATTTTAGTTTGAAAAAGGATTTATCATCGATGGAAGAAGATGATGATACGAATGATGAGATTACTGATTCACCCATACCTACTTCCGAGGAGGGTGATGTGGACGAAGAGCTTGAAGCCAATACTGAATCCCAAATAGCCTTGGCCCAACAATTGGCGGAAGAGAAAGAGCAACGCAAAATTGCCCGGCAAATTCTTAGACAAGACAAAGCCAATGCTCGTCAGGAAAAAGAAGAAAGACGTCTGAGACGTGAGGCCAGACGTCACGAGGAGGAACAGGCGGCCGAAGAACTTAAAAAGAAGAAGAAAAAGAAAAACAAACTACCGAAAAGTATTTTCGAAATTGAAATTTCCGAAAGTGAAGATGATGACGAGCAGTTCATTGTGGATCGTCGAAATCTGGAGCTATATTTAAAACACAAGAGGGGTTATAATTACCCTGCCGAACACTGTCATCACATTGATCTAAAATTTGTACAACACTTGAAGAGCCTGACAGATTTCACCTTAGAATTTTTGGGGCCACTGCAAGGTAGGCAATATCATCAGCGTCACTACAACTTCTCCCACGAGGATATAAAGAACTTGGCCTAGTGAGTTCGGTAAGATATTTTGAAGAAAGAAATCGGAGTTAAAATTCCATTTTTTCCAGCGGCATATCCTTGGTACCACAATTAAGGATATTTCGTTTACGCAACAGCCGAATGGATGCCGAAAAACTTTTGACACTGATTCGGGGTTTGAAACACGTCGAGAAATTAGAAACTGTGGACTTTGGCTATGACCAGCTAATGGATGATTGTGGCAATGCCCTATATGAACTGTTCGAAAATACCCAAAGCATTCGTGGTCTGGAATTGGAATCAAATCAATTGGGCGAGGAGACCCTAAGGACATTGGGTGAAACTTTAAGCCATTACAGCCAAGGAACTTTGGAATATTTAGGGCTAGCACGTAATCCAGTAAATGATGATGCTCTTCATGCTTTGATATCGAATATTTTGGGTACTCCACATATCTCTTCGTTGAATTTGAGAGGTATAACTTATTTATCGGAAGATGGGTTCATTTGTTGTGTTGCCCATGAGTTGCTGAGGCAACATTCAGTTTTAATACATTTGGATATAACCGCTATTCCCATTGGCCCAAAAGCTGCAGATCAGATGATGATATCACTGAATTCAAATGAAAAAATATTGAATATAGAATCTCTCGCCTGTGGTCTGGATGATGAAACTGAACAGGATATTGCGGTGATTTTGAAAAGGAATAAATTTATTGACGAAAATCCCTATATTGGAGATCAAACTAAAACCGATGAGGACATTGATGAATGGTTGAATACAACGACGTAAGTATCAAAAGACCGTCAGACAAAAGTCATATTCAAGATTCTCCATACATTTTGCAAACTGAGAATTTCTCTGCTCCTGATGCTGAAGGAATGTAAAAATATTATTACGAAAACCGAATTTTGTTTACGATAGAACGAAAAACCCTGGCCGACTATACAATACTGTTACGCAAAATAATTGAATTACAGAAAATCGCTTTGGAGGGTATATTAATTTTGTCATTCTATTAGTAACTCCCCGACAAAACGATATATATTCTTGATTAGCATAAGATTCTAAGTCGATTTAGTCATGTCCGTCTGTCTGTTCTTTCTTGAACATCTCCTTGGCTTCCGAACGGAGTGAATTATGTGGACAAAATTTCACTGAAATTCATTTTAGGACAGCCAGATTTAATGTGTGGGCTATATAGGTCCACGCTTTGGTATAGCCCCCATATAACTATGCGGGCAGATTTAAGGTGTTATGAGTAGATAAGTCACAATTTTATCCAGAATTTACAGTTCTTGCAGAAAATGTACATATAGGTCAACGTTTTGGTAAAGGTCCGATATAACTGTATCTCTCGATATTCCGTATTTTGATGAATTGTGTCAAACCGTTGCCAGAATGTTTTCAAATTTTGTATTTGGGGTTCGTAATAGGTACTACTTCATATAGCCCCAAAATAACGGTACCTCCCTAAATTCGGCATTTTGACGATTCTTGCGACATTGTTTAACGGAATATTTCGAGGTTGATGGTTGGTGTTGCCAATAGGGACTATCTTCTCTGATAGAAAATTGTTTACATAGGATCACCAGTTTTTATAGTCCCCAAATAACTGTACCTAAAGGTATTCGGTATTTTGATGATTTATGTAACATTTTTCGATTGAATTGTTTCAAATTTGGTATTTAGAGTTCGTTATGAGTTCCACTTCCTACTACCGAAAATTACCTGTACGGATCCACATCATCGTTTTTCCCCACATTCGCATTTCTCCCTATATTCGATATTTTCCCGCTTTTAGCCAATTTTTCAACGGAGTTATCTCAAAATTTTACAATATGTACCGCATTTTCTGCCAGATAGTTGGCTATACAGGTCTATATTTTCGTATAGCACCCAATGTTTGATATTTTAACAAATTCGCAGGTATTTTTTCAGCAGATTTTGTATACCCTCCACCATTCTATGAGGGGTATATTAGCTTTGTCATTCCGTTTGCAACTCCTCGAAATATTCATGATAGACCCTACAAATTATATATATATTCTGGATCAGCGTAAAATTCTAGGACGTTTGTCTGTGTGTCCGTCTGTCTGTTGTAATCACGCCATCTTTCGAACGAATTGAAATAGAAGTCTAAAATATTGCACACAAGTGGATTTTGCCTGTAGTCAGGTTAAGTTCGTTTATGATTTTAGCGACATAATTCACCCGAATTGTTTCAGTTTCGAAGTTTGTAATGAGTACTACAGCCTTTGTTTAAAAATTTCGTTTGCAGATCCATGTCTTCGTTTGTTGATATTTTTCAAGTTTCTTCCAAATGGTGGAGGATATACAAAGTGTGGTGGAGGATATACTATTCAAAGTACAGTCCACATTATTTGATGTAGAACTTAAAAATTGGACAGAGCAATTTGTATTGTGTTAAGGATGATTGGTATTGAAAATGAGATATAACGGCCAACATTTTGGTATAGCTCCCATATAACTGTACCTCCCGATATTCGGTATTTTGACGATTTTCGCTAAATTTGTTCACGGATTTGTCTAAATTGGTATTTGGTCCCAGAATAAATCGAATGGCCAACTCTTCCTTAACAAGAGGAATTCATGAATATTTCAAATAGATATTAGGTTTAAAGTCGTACTTCTTGTGGCTTTATGCAAAACTCTCCTACAAAGCATCATTTTAGAATGATGACGTCAACGACCAAAATATTCATACCAAGTATCAAATTTCCCTATAACAGTCCGTTTACAAAAAAATGTGTTTACCCACAGGATTTGGATTAAAATTGTCATATCCATTACTTATACTTCAAATAAATCCTTTTAAAGTAGGTTAACCCTACAAAAGCTTCTAACATAAATATGGCACCTCCTGAAGAGATCTTTTATAGAAAGAACACCTCTCAGAAAGAAGACATCTTTAGTAAGAATAAGTTTTAGTTGACTAACGTTGAGAGATACCTTCTAGAGGCTTTCTATACAGAGAATACCTCTCAGACTCAGAATAACTTCCGTAGATATTTCATTAAGCGTAGACCACCCAGAGATCTTCTATTGTGAGAGAAGGTTTTTATTGAGAGGGGATCTCTCAGCGGCCTTCAGTTGATAGGATATCATCAGTGTGTACAAAAGTTTCCAGAGGTAACCTATTAAGATACTCTCTGATGTAATTTATTTCATAGGTATTAATACTATTTCCCAATTGATTTTGTTAAACATTTTTCAGCTCTTTGGGGATAGATAACCTTCCGACCTTCTTTCTTTGGCTTTGTCAATTCTCCCCAAGCAAGGGATATAACTCTTACATATACTCTCTGCTTCTAAATTGTTGACACCTTTTATGTGAAGATAACCCAACGGCCTTCTCTCAGAGGTTGAAATTTCCCAGATGTCTTAAATATGGAAAAAATCTCCCAGAGCTGAGATAGGACCTCCTGGAGATTTTCTA